GGGCAGGCCCTTACCCGCGCCTTCTCTCCGCCACGCGGTGTCTTCCCAGGCGACCAGGTTTAGGAACTGCCAATGCGAGCGGCTCCAGCCCTGACCTGCGGTCCAGAGCGTGACTAAGCCTTTGGTGGCGGTTCACTGAACACGTTTGTATTTGAGACAACGACAGCCCTTTACTTGTGTTGTTCCAAGTTTGGGACTAGAGGAGATTAGAAATCATGATCTTTTATTTTTGGTGTCTAAGGTGAGGTGCAGATGATTGATTTGGAGGAAAATAGGAAAACTTTGACATTAAAATTATGCTTTTCTGTAGGAGAAGAAAGACATTAACTTCAGGATACAGATGAACAGAAGCACATGCAGAGAGTGTGGGTGCTCGGCCCACTTTTTCCTTTGGGGACATGAAGGGTTTACTGTTAACCAAAACATTCACCAACTGGAGGACTTTCTTTAAAAACACCACACACCTGGTTTCCGGATTCTTTCAAAATGTTCTTAATCTTCATTTAATTTTTATTTCCAATGCAGTTCTGTTCTTTTTATATTTTAAAGATTAGAAACTTGAGTGTAAATTTCTTATTACATTGTTGACATGGGGGAAAGGAAATAAAAAAGACAGATCTGCCCATTACATTTGATACCAGGAGGTTTGAATTTGGAGACAAGCCAGGGGGTTGGTTTCGTGTATGTGACCTGAAGTGTGGTAACGTGAAAGGATCCGGTGGGAACACCTGAAGACAATCTATGCATTGGAGTGCGATTTAGATAAAAATTTAAAAAGATGACTGTACCTGTGACGCCTTGTAAATCTGCATTTGTGGGGCCACGTGCACACTCCTTTAACAGTGATTAGTAAGACCACATATTTAGCAGGTCACTTGGCAAGTGGCATTTCCCTCCTTAGGAAAAAGTGCTTGACTCAGAAAATGGACCTGGCCGGCATGCTGGGGTGAAGAGGACTGACCACTCGACTGACGCTCTGTGAAGGGGAGAACTGCTTCAGCTCTCAAACTTGCATTTCCTGAGGGTCCTACTAAGTGGAGGGTGTATTTTATGTGGTGGAATTGATGATTTATGAAATTATTTTGATTAAAAACATGCCACATAAGGTAATCTACTGGGCCCAAGATACGATAATTTGAGCACTATTTGCCAAATCCACGACCTTTGGAGAGTAAATATTTCAGGACTGCAGATAAAATATAGACTTTCACCCGCATGAAACCGGGGCTTGGGGCCTTCTCAGTGCTTAGCATTAACAGAACTGGTCGGGCTTGCCTGTACCCTGGGCAGAAATGCAGGAAGCACAGGGGCTCAGAGTGGGTCTGGAGCCAGCCTGCCAGAGGCCGGTTACTGGCTTTGGAGCCTTGGGAAGTTACGCATTTAGTTGTGCCTCCATTTCCCATCTGTCAAATGGGGATGATGGTAATACAATCTATAGCACAGATACTTGCAAATTAAATGCATTAATATGTGTTAAATGGTTGAATATCCATACATGTTAGGTGTTGTTATCTGTCTTCAAAATCAGGGAAGTGCCTGGTTGCACAGCCAGGCTTGGCAGCCTCCTCGTGCTGAGTTACAGCCACAGATTAGGAGGGAGGTGGAGGCGAGCACATGGGTAAGCGCTGGAGAACCAGCTCCTGGGAATGTGCTGATAGGTCAGACCCCCACTGCCCAGGGCCAGGAGTCCAGCAGCCGCGGGAGGTGCTCCAGGCAGCCCGGCCAGCGACTTGGAATTGGCTGTTGAGGAAATAGAGGCACTTTGATCTACATCTGGTCTCTTCTCCACGTTGAGGTTAAGGACATTGTGGTTGGCAGGTTCAGTAGCCTGTCCACTCCCTCCTGCTCAGTCGAATAGGACAGAACTCATTTCTTGATTCTCTTTCCTGGGCAGTTTGTTGGGAACATTTGGAATGTAAATTTACCTGCCAGTTACTTCTAAGTATTCTATTTTCTTTCAATGACATGCCTATGCTAATATAGAAAAATTATCCATGACACACAGTGGTCGTTTAGATATGGCTTCTTGCACCTGTTAGTCACTGAGAAAGGTTGGGGAGATGTTTTCTGGTTGATCTCCTGTGGAGCGTTGGGGTGCTTTGGCTGGGTTTGTTCAGAAAACTGTTGGTTGCTGTGCTGGTTGTACAATATAGATTCATTTTAGTTCTGTGGTTTTGAAACTTGGGCATTTTTAAAAGTGAGACACATTATGTGCTGTATCTATTAAGCTGTGTTAAATGGTTACCAAGTTGAAACTATTAATCATTTAGAATTCTGCTTTCTGTTTTCATCATTGGTGTAAATATTGAGGAAGCAGCTGGACTTAAATCATTCTTTTGGTTCATCTCCTGAGATAGAAAGAAAATTTGCCTTGTGGCTTTTTTTTTCTTTACCTATAATTGATCTGGAATTGAATTGAACTGAATATCATTTGGATTGTCTAGGTGTTAAACCTCTGATGCATGTAATAGTTTTCCTTTACTATTATCATTCCTCTAGAACTGGCCCTTGTTTTGTACAAAATCAGGGATAGTTTAGAGAACGTGAATCCTATATAATAAAAGGGTAATATGCAAATTGACCGAATGGTGCACTGACCCCCAGGGGGCAGGCGCTCAATGCAGGAGCTGCTCCCTGGTGGTTGGTGTGCTCCCACAGGGGGAGCGCCACTCAGCCAGAAGCTGGGCTGATGGCTGGTGAGCGCAGTAGTGGCGGCGGGAGCCTCTCCCGCCTCCGCAGTAGCACTAAGGATGTCCTACTGCCGGCTTAGGCAGGGAGGGGCCGAAGCTGTCATCGGACATTCCCCAAG